GCCAGTATAGATAGTATATCGACTGTAACTACACAAAACCGTTATGAAAACTTGACTTCCTATATACCATTTGATGTATCTCAACGAGCTCTACAATACTGTATAAAAATGAAATCGATTCAAGAAAAATTTTTTATCCGGCGGGGTCCTTTACAAGAATTTCATCGTAAAAAAGTAAAATTAAAGCAGTGTTCACAGATGAGACATCGCTGCTTGTCCACCGATCCCGGCGAGCCAACATGTAGTGTTTACGATGTATCGTGCTGTACCGGCGTCATCCCAATTTATATATAATTTTGTGAAACCAGAATCGAAGGATAAACGTCCTTCAGTTGATGTTGCTGGTGGGTCAAATACAGCAATATTAGGATTGCCATCGGTCGATGTCGCCAAAACGGTAAGTGCAGAACAACTGGCAGTGGTTGAATAAACAGGTTGACAAATAGTGTGTCCTTCATATAGATTTGTTATTCCAGTAAATATATCATGCTGACCAAAATGTCCAGTTTCTAAATATCCTTTTTCTTTGTATGTGAGCGTTAGTTGTGCACCGTAACAACCCGTTAGAGTGATGCCAAACCTTTTATTGAGAAAGTTGGACGCATGAGTTATATATGGTACATTGTCTGCGAACAAAAAAATTGCTCCGCCTGATGCATGAAACTTTATTAAAGCTACATCGAATGTCGGGTCTTGAATAGAAGATGAACTGATAACCCATACTATCCGATAAAGATTTGTGCTTAATTCAGATAAAAATTCTGTTTCAGATTTCACATGTTTCACTTGAAAACCTTTAACCATTAAAGCATCAATCGGTTTCTGCATGGCCACATCCGAAAATGCACTATCAGAGTAAAACTGTCCAATTAAGACGCAATATCGATTAAAAGCACCGTCTCGACCCAGGTCATAATGTGTTCCGACAGGATTTCCATGTTTATCATACGAATGCACACCAATAATTTCGCTTTGACCAGCAACAGGGTTATAAATGTCTGTAGTTGTGCTTTTCTCCTGTGACTAGACCAAAAAAAAACGATGCTTAGCATTATAGAGTGTAATGTAAGTTGTTATCTCATTATCTTAAAAACTGTTCGCTTAAAGATACTGAGAACAGAACTAAAAAATATTTTCTAGTTGACACTATGTGACCTTACTCTTCCGTCGTTTCATTTCATTTTTTACATCAGAAATATTAGTCCTGTAAACGTTGTTCTCTCAAAACTGACACCTAAATTGAAACTCATCGTACTGTATCTCTAACTGCAAATTTACATAGAAAGTCAGCGCTGAGACAAATAAAGTACAACATGATTTCAATCTTATTCTTGCTCAGCGAACATTTTTACTTGTTTGATGGTGGATCAGTTCGGAATTTCTCTTACTTACAGTCCAATATTTCCCATTCAATCCTGTATAAACACGTTGTTTTCGCTGTTTTACAGAGCCATTGCTTGCTTTTGACCGATGATATTTCTAAAATAATAGATTGTATTCTATTGTCTATTCATTTGCATATAATAATTTGTTTACTCTTTTTCTGATGTTATTTTTCTTCGATTGAGTTTTCTGGGTAGTGGATTTGCATAATCGTTTTCCTTTTTTCGTTGATGAATTTTCAATATGTTCATGAACCTGAAAACAAAGGGAGTGATAGAGAAAGTAGTTATTTCTTCTTTGTTTTTTGTTTATTTCAAAGGCATACATCATTAATTTCTTTTGAAGAAGATTTTGTGCTTCGCAGGCTTCTAGAGTAATTTGACGAGAGTTTTGTTGTCATAGTTACTCTGAAGTATAACAGAATCATGTTCATTAATATTTAATTTGAAATACCAATTACGTACCAGACTTACTGTGGTTAGTCAATGATTTTGTTTTTCTTTTCCAGATAAAGAAGCAATGAGCAGAACACATATTTATATACCCACGAAGTGCAGAGCAGAATAATAAAAAAATGTGATTTCACAAGTGTGGTGCAATACCAATGTCGTCACGTTTTATAAAGCTACTGCTGGTTAACTGCAAGTTCTCGCTCTAAGTCAGGTTATCTAAGTGTCTCTGCCGATCAAATTGTTTTTCATAAGATTTTTCTCTTTTTATCAACAGAGAACTTTTGATGAATGTCATTACGCGTATTAATTCTTGTGATTCATCGGATACATCAAAAGTGTGAGTGTTACGGTATTCCCATGTTGCCATTGTACCTGACATGTTAGCGCAATCATTTTGGATTTTAAAATGTGATACATGAACCTTATGTTGTTACTATAGACGCAAAAACTCTTTTATTCCATATCCCTTTGCAATCCTTGAATATACTTTTTAGTAGTCAAAAAAGACGTTAATAAGAAAGCTGTTGATATGTTTTATGAGATTTCAAGAACATAAAACCATTAATCTTTCATTGAAGCCGTCTCTAATAACCTGCGATGTTTCTCGAGTTCGTGTATCACTGTCTGAATGTATGATTTCTTGACCGGACTGAGTAGGGCGGTCAACTTGCGTGAGCCATTGCTTGATTTTCTCATACATTGAGGGCATTGTTTAATTCTCTATTAGTAATCCTTACAGCTGAATCATTACAAGTATTACCTAACAGTTGAATGCTACTTGCAATGTTTTGCTGAAACATAATTAGTTATATAAGACGCTTCTAGTGAATATTAGCTCATTTTTAATATTCATACTCGTGCACATTCATAAAAATAATCACCAATATCTTAGCCCCCTGAATCCCGAGAACTCTTGCTTACTATTCGAAGCTAAAGAAAGTTTTAAAAAAGACTTTCTTTGGTGTTGTCGCTCTGAATCAGCTGTATATATGTTCTGTATTTTATTCACCTATGTCGTATAGATTTGCACTAGGGTGTGGGTGTGGGTTCGATAATAAATATTCTACTGATTCACACCCACAGCCATTTCAAGGTGCCAGCTTATTCACACTATTGCCCTGTGAATTGGATTCTTGTATTACATTATTAGAAATAATCTTGAAAGTTCTTGAAGATATAATTTGTTTTGAACTTTCTTTCGAGAATAATTCAGAACCATTAAGCCACCTGATGAGACCCTTTAGCTACGTCAAAATCTAGAACATGGCAGCTTATTCATGCCCACGCGTACGCCCACGCCCACGCTTACACCCACACTCACACCCATACACCCCGTGTCATATAGATATGATGAGATTATATACGATCAAAAGCGAATAATAAAGCACAAGTACAACAAGATTGAAGAATTCAAATCACTTTGATAGGTATGATTTTGTCTTGAGAATGGCGATCTCGCTCTTTTTCTTCTTCGACACCCATTCCACATACTTCTTGGCAATAAATGTTTCATTAAATTCTTTCTTATAATTAGTTGATGGCAGAACATGGAGAATAAAGCCGAGAACTTGTGGGGCATATGAAAGTAGATAAGTAGCAAGTAATGTATGACGTTGCCAATCACTAAGTGGTGTACATGCAAAACTAAATGTAAGAATGATTTGAGGCAGAACAGAAATAACAGCAATCGTTGGTGTGACATAGAGTTCCTTCTGAGTCTTAAATTGTTTCTTTAACACTTCACTAAATGTTACTCTTTGTCCAACCGTTTTTGCTCGACTACGAGCAACTAGAACAATCAAAAAAGTGATGCAAGTGATTTGGATAAAAAAAGGAACGATATAGTGAATGAGAGTAGAAGTTCGATTGTAATTTGATGCCAGGGCGGTGTTAAAGTTTGTCACGTAGACGAATGAACCGGTGGGAGTGTACTGAATGATAACGGAATGAATTATTTCAGGCACATGCATAAGAAAGAGGACAATCGACGTTGCAATACTCATTCCGATAGATAGACGAGGATTTTTTAGAGATGATGAAGTTGGGATAAGGATTATCAGAAGACGATCAACAGTAACCCAACTTGTTAGCCAGTAGGTCGATCGTGTGAATACGGGAAGCAAGAAAGAAATAGCTCTACATGTCCCCAGATCAGAGACTTCGATAGTAATTTGAATAAATTTGAAAAACAAAAAGAACAAAGCAGTCTGATTGAGACCAGTGAGAATGAACAAAAAGTTGCCCACGCCAAATTTTCGAGGTGTAGGTCGTTTAAATGTGATGAATGAACAGAAATTGTTAAAGAATCCGATGATGAAGAGTAGACAAGCTATAGAAGCATAGATGATCTTCACTTGTTTTGAATAATCAACCAGAAGTAAATCGAGAGTGAAGCCAAATGCGTGCAAACTAAATTCACATCGATGTCCTTGATGACAAGAAGGACAAAGGCAAATGAAGTCGTTTAAATCTTTTGGATCACCTTGAAGACATTTTCCTCCAGAGAGACACTTGTCACAATGGTCAAGTTGAGTATCGTGTATAAAACAATTGGCACCATAATGATCTGGTTGGCAAATACATATATAGTTTTCGTCATAAAAACAGATATGTTGAGTGTCGTTTCGACAGATATTATGATATTTAAAAATCGCTGGAACGGACTCATCGATTCGTCGCACTAAAAATCGACATCAGATGAATATTTTTATCTATCTGAAAACTCACTTTCGGACAACAGTGACAAGGCGTGCGGACAATTCTGTGGAGATGAGGTGATGTTGATCATTCGTTGAACCTGACAATAGATGATGAAATATTGCGGATCTGATAAATCTTCATAGATTTTGAGAAATCCGAATTCGGGTGCATAAACACTAGAATGGTAGTAGTTAATCATCGATGGCAAGCCATAATAGGCCTTCTGATGTTGGATAGAAAGTGGCAAATCAGAAGCATCACCGCTGTAAAGTTGTACAATGGTCGCACGAGCAGATACTGCCCTTGTTATATTCAAAATAACGCGAACAAATGCCATCTCATTTTCACATTGATTTCCATAGAATTGCTGTGAGCAGTTGCACATGTAGGCTTGTTCGCCACTTCGATCATAATTAGGAAGACAAGTTCCATTGTTCAAACATGGACTCGAATCGCAATAGTCGTATTTAAAATTGCAATGTGGTCCAAAGTGGCCAAGTGCACATATGCAGTAAGGATTGTTTCTTTTGACCTGTAGATCATAATGATCTGGTCGACAGAATGCTTTGACTGAACAGTAAGTTCCACAACGATACTCGTACATGCTACAATTCGTCCCATAATAACCACTTTTGCAAGAACAATAGTAAGAGTTGTTTTGATTGAAAACTGGCATGCAAGTGGAATTCTCATTGCATCTGTTTTGCCAACAAGCATCATGTGTGGTATTTTCCAACCAAGATGGAAATCTCAATACGATCGCCAGACGGAATGCTGGTAGATAATCGAAATAAATTGGGTAGTGCCAAGAGCCAATTTCTTTGATACTGTTTTCATTTTCAAGGGAGAAAACATCAAAATGAACAGAATATGGATGATTATTGATCACATCAGTTCGATTGAAATAGCGCCGTTGCTTGTGTACAAGCATCTGTGCAGAACGAGAATACACAAGATAAAATTTATGCTTGATTATTTTGACTCTTTCGAATGTTGGAATAATAGTGAATTCATGATGATCGATTATTCTATTATTGAAAAGAAAATTCGCTTTGATTTTGAGGGTCACTTTCGACATTGTCGTCAGCAAGGTGTTCTGATCGAGGTGTGCAATAATACTGATTCGATCGCTAAAGAATTCACACCAACGACCATAATAAGCGGGTGGACACAGACATCGAGTTTCATTCATTTGAAGAACAGCAATACCTCGATTACATTGATACGAATGTACTTTGAAAAAGGAGTCATTTTGAAGGTTAATACTTGATTTTGGCACCTGCTGTTGATTGACATCTACCATACTCTCCGGTGGGTACGTTATCAGATAGATATTATCAATGTGATTATCTAGGATTTGTCTTTTGCCAAAGCGATAGCTTCTTTGATCGTTGAGAGAACCAGACGGACACCAATACTCATCTTCTCCATCCTCACAATCTACTATTCCATCACATCGTGCATTCTTCTTGCATCGATCGTCTCCGTGACAAATGGCATCTTTCTTATTGGAGCATGATCCGTCTTTATCCCGATACTTTGAGCAAAGAATCTCAGTGCAATTTAACGTTGAGCAAAATTCTACGTAGCTCCTATGTTCACTTCCGCAACGAAAATGGAAGCCCCACATATTTGTATTATCGGTTTTCGCTGTGAATGTATTCTTTTCGTCGTGGGCATTGTAGCAATCTTCCACACCATCGCCAATCTGAGTAAGATTGATACATGGAGTATTTGACTGAATATCCAATGGGTTTGATACTCGAGATAGATAACAACCGAATTCAAAAGATGTATTGCAGATTTTCCAAAATGGTGGTTTGGAGTATCGTTCTCGACATTTTTCAAGCTGAGAAGGTAAATTTGTGAGATGAGCGTTGTGAATCGTCCATGGTTGATTAAGAACGATGGCTTCTTCATCGCTTGCGTCTGCACAGTCCCATTCACCATCGCATACCCAATCGAGTAAAATACACTGTCCTGTTCGACATCGATATCGATCATGCTCGCATACCCAATGTTGGCACGAAGAAGACAATTCGTCAATGTGATTGTCCAAATTCCAAAAAGTATCACAATACGATCGAAAAGCGATGAGTTTCTTTGATTCTTGTCGTTGAGTACTGACGAGGGAAGCGTTGTTGCTTGAATTCTTTGCAGATGATTGCTGAATGTATGCTTTCAAATGGTGGCAATGAGTGGTTCGTGTTTTCGAACATAAAAGCTGTATTCGAAGAAGACCACCAGTGCCATGCCAATTTTTATCATAGCTGTTCGAACAACTAGGAACGTCTCTACCCAAGTGGCTCAGTGGCAGACATGCGTAATCATCATCAAAACACTGAAAACGATGTCGTCCTGCATTTCCCGTGCAATAATTCTTGTCAAGGATCATAATTTCATCGCTTGCATCAAGGCAGTCGAATGTGCCATCATGAATTCGATATTGTGATATGCATTCACCGGCATAAGGACATATTTCAAGATTAACAGCATATGGGCGACCATTGAATGTTAGTGAGTCATTCCAACAGAACTTGTCATTTTGAATTGGTGACAAAAAATCTCGATTCCCATAAATAGGATCAGAAAAGTGACAAAGCTTGTGATGAATCAATGGATATGAAATTAGGGCAACATAGAACGGCTCCTCGAATGAGTATTTGGTCTGAAAAAAATACCCTCGACATTTTATGCCGCCAGAAAGTAAGAAAATCTGAAAACTTGGATTTTCCATAAACTGACTGTAGTTGTAGTAGATCAAAACATTTGGATTGATTAATCCTGCTGGTGGATAGAGAATGAGGTAGTTCTGTGATGAACACACACTCATCATCATTGGTGTGCAATTCGAATGATTGCATGGACAATCATGCTCCAAACCTTTCGACAAAGCACATCGAAATAGATACTGGCATTTTTCTTTGTTGGTTAGGTTTGACGCAATAATCAGATTCCATGGAGGATATCTAGGATCATCGTAGTCTTTATCTGGCCAACATAGTCCACTCTCGAGTGTCCAAGCAGGTGGGTTTGAACTCGCTTCACACATATAGTTCCGATTGCGCTTGGTGAAACAGTCATTTTTCGCTGATTCAAATCGATTAAAATCCATTCGACTGCTCCATTGAACACATTGTCCGTCACCGCATGAGTACCACATCCTACTACATGTATGTTCGTCACATTCTATTGCGTTCGGATGAAATTGGCACGAGTCTCCACCATCGGAAAAATATTCATCGCTCCAATCCATACAATCGTTGTCACCTATAAAAACAATGAATGTAATAAGTTCTTTCAGAATTAACACCACTCACCATCAAGCCAAAATTCCTCCGCAATGCACATGCCATTTGTGCATCGGAATTCATCATACTCACATTCATTGAACTCTAATTTGTCACAATTTTCTTCATCGGTACCATTCGAACACCGCTGAAAACTGTCGCAAATTTCACGCCAATCCAGACAGAGAGGACTCGAAAGACAAGATAGTGTCTCATAGCAGAGAATCTTTCCGTAGCGTTGAGTATTCCATTCATCGCCGTTTTCCTTTTGTTCAAACTGAGCGTTGATTGCCTCGCTGAAGAATTTTGCCTCGTGTGTCAATTTATACTCACAATATTTGCCGAATGTTCCCGAGTTTGTGCAGTTACATACAAATCTATCATCATTATCGTCAATTAACGATCGATTGTAGAAGGCCCTGGCGTACAAGTCGACCATCTCGACACTTGAACTCCAGTTGAGGATCTCGCTTGGATGAATTTTTTGATCGAGTAGATCGCGAAAGTATTTCTTCTGTCCTTGATTGTCACACTCACTCCTATTTCGAACAAGTGTTTGACTCCCACCTGGGCGTCGGCAATAAGAAATTTCTTCTCCGTCATTATAAGTGTAGTAGACACAATCGAATTTCTCAAATGCCTCTCCATTTTCAGTATTGTAAAGTAGAACTCGACCATATGTGTCGCTGAAGATCAAGAGAAAAGTCGCTACGAAAGACGTCAACATCTCCGAACTATCCCGCGCTCACAATCCACATCAATAGATAATCATCAACACTTTATCTACCTGTGAAGAAAGAAAAGCTAACAAAGAACAATCCCTTTCAAATGATTTTTTTATTCCATGATATTTTTCGATATTATCATATTTCATGGGATGAGCACGTATGAAACAACAGTGATGAATAAATAGTCAATAAATGATGACGTGCATGAAAAAAAGCCTTGTTTCAAACAAGCACACAAATAATGCATGATAATGAAAGACGGATGAATCACAAGAGAACATTTCCAGGTGTCGGAGCGCTTTTCAGCCGGGGTTTTGCGCATCTTGTAGCTCATAGTGAGCTGTGTCTATGGGTAAAAAGGTTCGGGTTTCTGGTATGTTTCTGGAGAAATATCGAGTTTTCGTTGAATTTTCTATATAGTATCCCATCTTTTTAGTAAAGCTATAGTTTTGAATTTTGACTCGAAACAGTACCCACATAACGATCCCAGCTGGACTAACTTGTATAACAAAATTCAGAAGTTTTGGACAAAGTCCCTCCTAGATATCGAACTATCACGGCACAGACTCTTTTTCATAGATCGAATGTATACTATGCGTACTTTGAAAATTTCATATCTCGGAGAGGCTTTGTCCAAAACATCTGAATTTTGTTATCCAAGCTAGTCCAGCTGGGATCGTTAGGGTGTGGGTGTGGGTGTGAGGGTGTGAAACTCAGAATGAAAACAAACATCCCATACCCACACCCCCCTCAGCAAATTGCTAAATACCTCAAGAAACCACCACTCCTTTCCTATCGTGGTACCTGAGAAACAAAATCATGGCTTATCTTTCTATGACAATAAAACACGGAGCCCACTAGTTTTAATGAAAGTTCATTTTTTATTGAAATTCTATTTAATAATTCAAATGATCCTAATAGTAAGTCAGGATTATGAGCAACCATGTTATTGTTAAAACTACTAGAAACCTTGCTATCAACTTGATCAAGCATTTGTACCAATTTTATTTTAAAAAATCAAGAGTGGAAAACTTTTTAGCTCTGGAATAGTTCTATTTGCTGTCAGATTATTTTTTCTAGTGCCTTTTTTCAATAACCTTTTTCAGGTAGTTGGTTAGTTTCTATGGTTTCGGGTGCAATCATGCCTTAGATAGTTATCACGTTTATAAATAATCAAAATCTAGGCGGAAAATTAACAACGATCTTCATTGTAAAGAAAAAGAATAAAAATACTTTTCAATTCATTCCCATCCATAAATACAAAATTAGGACTGGAATCAGATTGAAATGAATTAAGCCATTTCTTATAATAATGAGCTTTTAATCCATTTTCAAACAGTTTTCACAAAACAACAACCTAAAAAAGTCGAAATATTTCATGCATCACACGATTGCTACTGAGTATAATCGATTAAGACTTCATAAAAACTAGAGTGTAACTGGCGCAAACCACATTAAAACTTTTCATTTGTCACAAATAAAAACAAAATTGAAATCTTATGATAATAATCAAATTCGAATTCTGTATTTTTACATGGACAGCATCATTTTGCTAAAAATGTGAGCCTATCTGTTAGAGTCATATATTTACATTCCTTGGCTCACTTCGTTCTTCACAATATATGTTTATTCAAGCGGCATTGCTTGATACTTTATTCTCTCACATCAGTATTTAATTCGATTTGATTCTTAATAAAAAGAACACCAAGAAAGGATTCTCGAATACTACCCTAGACTAAAATTGCTCCGCCGTCTCTGCTCACAGACCGTGGTAAACGGGTTCCAAAAAAAAAAGAGTTTCATCGTGTTTCACATTTTTATCCTACATGGACTGTGCTAGCAGCTTTTTTCATCAAATCGAAATACTCAGAAGTGAAATTGACACTTTTCAGATCTGAAATGCAATGTTTTAGAATGAAAAAATGGCATATTTTCACCAGAAGATACTATTATCATTACCATCAGATATAGAAGCTAACAACTTACCTCAATAAAATGTTCTCTGCAAAACACTTTATCTAGCTATTACACCGTGTTTATGTGTTGTTAATATATTTTCCATAGCTCATTATAATTCTATTATAGGAGTCATTTCGTGCTTGGAAAATGCCACCAAATCAAACAAAGATCGTCAACAACTTTTGTAACGATGACTAAAAGAAAATATAGTACTTGGAAATTTGAATCGCAAAATGTATTCTTTTCTTCTGTTTACTATTACTTTTTTCCTCTTAGCAACCCTCGGGTACTTTAATTTGATCTTAGATGATGAAGTTTGTTTCTCTTTTTGGTAAGAATCACGAAGCGGAAGAAATAAAAGTAATTAAAGAAAAATGAAAAACACCGAGCTTCTGATTGACTAGAAACTATTTGTTTCAAGTTAAAAGCAGTTGTGTGAGTTTTTTATGGCTAATTTAAATTTTAGTCGTAAAGAAAGATCTTGAAATAACTATGATTCAGTCATGAAAAACTATTAACATAAGACCTGTGAAATCAAAGTTTGGGTAGCAATGAAACTGCTTTATTCTAAAAACCATTAACATTGATCTCTTAGAAGTTCCAAAGTGTTACCGTGCGAATTTCAAAACTATTTTTATGCTCTGAAATCAATAAAAATATCGCCACAATATTTAGTATTTTGAACGAAATAGAATTACTGTTGATACTTCTGCTTTCGTGTACATAGCAGATGTCTACTATGACAAGTTTATAAGAAGTCATTAAAACTTCGAAACTTTTACGAATGTATCTGAGAAGTCTATTAGACTTTTAAGAATTTTGTGTAAATACAACCAAGAAGAAAACAATTGAAACAATAAGATGACAAATATAATTGAGCAAGTAAGAGAAATGGAAAAGGTAAATTTGCCAACCTATATGAAAGCAGTCGATGGCATGAACCCATTTCGTTGAGTGCTTTGTCAATTTCTTTTTGTTTATCGTTTTATTTTTTCCAAGTAGCAAGTAAATGCCAACAAAATATTTATAATCAGGGATGGAAAGCATATTGCTAGCACAGTAGTGTCAAACTTGAAATTTGAATTCACCTAAAACTTCAAGTTTCATGCTTCAAGTTACGAGTAGGAATCCACCAGGAACCAGTAAATCTGTTAGACTAGAAATGCTAGTATAGGTGCGTCCGTAGTTACAAGTTTTCAATTCTTCAACTATTCAATAATTAACGTTTCCAATTTTCAGGTATTGATTTTTCATGAATTTCAAAGAGTACGCGTCAACAACGTATCTCGACATTCCCTGTGTGTATTTTTGTTATGCATCCGTCTAACAGTACACCCATAGTTAGAGAGATGCGTTTTGATCGTCTTTCACGACATGGCCACGCTATTGTGTAGTGTATCTACATGTCTTCCGTATCTAGTATATGCCTAGCATCTTTAGTTCTATTCCAATTCTGTCAATTTAAATGAGTCAGCATGTGATTGAAACTGGACACTTGAAGGTTGCAAAGCTAAAGTTTCAGTGAGATTCATTTCAAATATTAAATTTATATGCCAATTGTCGAATACGCAAATTTTAACGAGTTGCTTTGCTCATTTTTCACTATCAACGTATAAAAGCAACGCTTTTGCATTTGTTTATATGCATGTGTATAACTATCATCGCGCTCTAGAGAATAATGACACATCGTTGTACATGGTCCAAATGAATATTGTGTTACTAACTGACGAAGGAGAAAATCCGGTGTGTTTTCATAAAGATTACAATTTTCTTGAAAAATATTTCACGATCATTTATTAACTTTGTTAGAGATTTCCAGATACTCTTTCATTCTAAAGAGATAGAATGTACCAATCTGAAGAAGAAAATTTGTACTCATAAAATTCAAATCATTAAATGTCTTACAGGGGTCGCAACGGGCCGCCCGACCCGGTGGACCGACCCGGACCGGGCGGGCCACGTATTTCTTCGGTCCACCCGGACCGGCTTGTTTTATATTTTTTCTTATGAATCGAACATAACTGGTGCGTCAGCATAAATGGCGGTCTCAATATTTCTTCAATATTCCTTTCAGCTTTCATAGTTTCGGGCTGACTTTTATACCAAAAG